CTCCAATCTTCTATTGTCCAGTTTTGGTGAGTCTGTGTGAATTGTAGCCTCAGTTTCCTGTTCTTAGCTGACAGGAGCGGCACCCGGTGTGATCTGCTGCTGCTGTAGCCCATCCGCCTCAAGGTTGGACGTGTTGTGTGTTCAGAGATGCTCTTCTGCAGGCCTCGGTTGTAAATGCATTGAATTGCTGCCATTTGATTGGCTGATTAGAAATTTTGGTTAATGAGCAGTTGGACAGGTGTACCTAATAAAGTGTCATATATAAATATACGAAATAAATATACGACAAAAATGACACGGACAATCTGCAATATGTCTTAAATTGACAATTTAAATTTCCGTGAATTAATACCCTTTTAAAATGTATTAAATGCACAATATGTAAGATTTTAAATTAAAATATCCACTAGAGTCTTGTATATTTTGAAGGGGTGTGAATCTACACTGGTGTCACGGTTTGGTTCGGTTGTGATTATCATGCCATCGATTCAGTTCAATTCGATATCTCGGTGCGTTGACGATGCTTTCCATACATAATTACATTTTTTTCTTCACAACACAAGAATTTTTAAAAATTAAAATCTATAAATATGTTAATATTTATATATTATTTGTAATATAATTGTGTCCTTTAATAGTAAGATAAAATTTGACCTGCTCAAAGAAAACACTCTCTCTGAATGCATCAAACAAAACTCCAACACATGCACAGAAGACAGCACGAGCATTTATAGCAAATAAACTCATGTGAATATGATCCCGCTTGCTTTTTGATCACTGACAGGCGAGGTCTTACACCCCTACAATGGATTATTGTCTTCACCTGCTCAACAGAAAGGGCTGCGATCGGCTTTAGAAATGAAAGAGCTGTTCACCGATGGCAGGAAGAACAGCCGCGGTTAAAGTCTTTATGCGCATAATACGCGGTTATCACAGGTAAGCCATAATAGACCCAGTGGAGAAAACTCGCACCTCAGGCACGCTCGTGTCTGGATCCAAAAGTATCGCTTTAACAGCCAAGAGGAAAGGAAAAGTTACCTCACAAACATGCCAGCGGGTCAAATGTTAAAAGTGAGAGAAAGAGATGGAGTTTTACAGCGTTTCTCCCCTGTAGTGAAATAGCGGCTGGTGTGCTGTGCCGCCTTCAGTGTCAACGAAAGACTGTCCAGCAAACTCACAAGCAGCTAAACTGTGCATAACTATCTACCTTTTAAGTAGTAAGAGCATTATTTATTCGCCCCCTCGCCATAGTATTCTACTGGGACATCGCGCATAGGAGATAAATGACGTCAGTACGTAATAACCGGTTATGATCTATTACTGAACCAATTAACAATTGTCCCCATCTGCATCGCAGTGCACTGAAGAAACAATTAATTTTGACACCTCTAATATTTTGCTGACTCGTGTACTTGGATCATACCAAATATTCAGAAGAATGGTAAATCTAAATAAACTATAAATTTTACCTACTATTTTGAGCATTTACTTGTGTGTTCATGCAAAACAGGGAAACGGAAGAATAAGACGCCGAATTAATAGCACCCTCTAATGGTGAAAATTACATATCGTGTCTTTAAAGGGCACCTATTATGCATAAAGCACCTTTATAGGGCGTGTAACCACGGTTGTGTGTCAGCAGTGTGTAAATATATCCAGCCTCTAATGGTAAACATTAGGGGTGTCACAATATTGATTTTTAATCGAAATCGATCGAAATTTATGCTCAATTTCGATTATCGAGTCAAAAAATAAAATCGTCGATGCTGCCACGCCCCCATGTCACGTCAGCTTGGCTTGCCAAGCGGGAAAATAACAGGCTTGTTGAAGTGCTTGATAAACTGCAGAAGCAGGAGACCAGTCGACAGAACTTAAACCCTCTCCTCTTTCAATGAAGTCGCCGGTGTGGGAGTATTTTGGATTTCCAGTGAGTTATGTTGACAACGTTCGTGTTGTCGACAAAAAAAAAAAAAACACAGTTTTGCAAGCTCTGCTGTGTTCGTATTACGTACGGTTCGTCCGATAGACAACACCGGCATCGCTATCCTCCGCCCGCCCCCGTTGCAAATGCGCTCGCGAAAAGTACACACTCAGGCCCTGTTTACACTGTCTTTGTTTTTAAATGGCATTTTAGAACGACAACGATTTGACATCCACAGTGGCGTGTAGCATTTCTGAGCAGCCCTCCTTCCTCTCTACCTCTGACACACACACACACACACACAGACAGACGCACACACACAGCCATGCGCTCGAGACAGCAGGTCCAGGCAGTCAGAGGACTGCTTCAATCTTTCACTCACTTGTACTTAGTCATTTTAGCGAACACCTCAGATACTGTTGGCTGGTTTCTGTTGGTTGTGCGTCTTTTTTACCGACGCCATTATAACAACACAGATCACTGCCTATTCACGAGTCCCGCAGAAAAGGTGATTGACAGGTGGTAATTATGTGTGTATCTTGCCTTTATTCATTTACTGTATGATTTGTTTATGGGTAAAACAAAGACCATGCAGGTCAGGTAGTTTAAACGGTAGGCTACAAATAATTAATTGGTCAATAATTAATTAATTAATTATTCATAATTGAAAATCGAATCGAATCGTGCCTTCAGAATCGAAAATGTAATTGAATCGAGGATTTGGAGGATCGTGACACCCTTATATCATACGTTATCAATGTGGTTGTGTTTTCAGACCCCCTAGTTTTTCCATGATAAAAATGAAGTAAAAGTAAACATTTATTAATTTAATGATTTATAATCAACAGTCTGCAGAAACACTTTGATTGACATGCTTTGTACGCATCCTCACAAGGGGAGGGCCCCTCCCACTACTACCCATCTCTCCCTCATTAGCATAACCAGCCCTGAGTGAGAGGCAGCTGTCCATCATTTGAGTTTTGAATCTGCCACTATGCTGACACACAGGCATTTGTAGCTCCGCCCTCTTCTGAAAAGAGCACAGTCTCATTTCAATTTAAAGCGACAGTCACCAAAACAGCACAATTAGGATCAAAGCCTAAAAGGGTCAGTTTCAGAGAGTAAGAAAACATTATTTGTGTGATATTTTGAGCTGGAACTTCACATAAACGCTGTAGGGATGTCAGTGACTTATTTTACATCTTGTATAAAGTGGTGTAATAGATCACTATTGTTTAATGTCATTATTGTAAACTGTATAAACAACATAACTTAATTCACCAAAAGAACAACCAAACAAACAAACATGTCCATTTTGTCCATCGCAGCTGATTTAGATTTTCCGAGTAGCACTGCCATACTAAATAAACCAGCTCTTCTCCACCCAACCACTTAGTGTTGAGCCAATGGAGTCAAATGTACAATTCAGTCAATAAATAACGCTGATTTTGGCCAAAAGTGTCGACTGAACACTGAAGCTGCATCACTTTTCACCACGGATGTCCCAAAACATGCAACTTTACATCAGCTAACAAGAATGAAACTCCTATTAGGGCTGGGCGATATGACAAAAATCGTATCATGATAAAGACGTATATGACAATAAAGTACATTTTCTGTCAATTCAATCAATGTATACAGGGTGTGCCATTTATATGGATACACCTTGATAAAATGGGAATGGTTGGTGATATTAACGTCCTGTTTGTGGCACATTAGTATATGTGAGGGGGCAAACATTTCAAGATGGGTGGTGGCCATTTTGAAGTCGGCCATCTTGGATTAGATACAAGATGTGCAGCACCTGAAACTACGGATACTGGAAGCCTGTGCTGGCATTTCTCCTGCGATGTTGCTATCAGTGTGTGAAGAGTGGGAGAAGAGGCTTGCATTGACAATCCAACACAATGGGCAGCACATTGAACACATTTTATAAGTGGTCAGAAACTTGTAAATACCTCATGAAAGAATAAAGTTACGTTAAAACCAAGCACGCCATTGTTTTTCTTGTGAGATTCCCAATAAGTTTGATGTGTCACATGACCCTCTTCCTATTAAAAAAACAAAAGTTGGATCCAAGATGGCCGACTTCAAAATGGCCACCACCCATCTTGAAAAGTTTGCCCCCTCACATATACTGATGTGCCTCAAACAGGACGTTAATATCACCAACCATTTCCATTTTATTAAGGTGTATCCATATAAATGGCCCACCCTGTAGTTTATATACCGCATGGATGAGATATTTTTTACTTTATTTTGACCTTCAGGGCAAATGTTTGATTACGAGTGTCGATATTTAATGTAACTATATATGAAAAATGAAACAGGCACAACATAAATTATTACTTTGAAAATGCAACTTTTTTCGCCAACTTGATTTACGTTTCTGTCTACATCCCCATGTAAGATTGTGAATAATCCTAATAATAAAAGTGTATTTTTGTCACCAAAGTATTTTGCGACAACACAAAATAAACAATAGAGCATAATAATAGTTCATAATATGAATGAATAATTTCTGCAGCGCTTTTCTGGACACAATCTCTTCAAGTGTGCAGCATCCACCTGGATGACAGAGATATAATAATACGAATGTACTAATTTTATATAGTGTTTATTGACCTTATCCTGGGATGCGGAAGTATGCTCGTTTTTGCGATTGTTTTAGACAACCCAGGCTCATTCTGATTACGCACCCCTGTATACATTTCCGAAGAAAGCAAAATACGTCCCAGGAGGTATGTTTTTTGCAGTTTTAGTTTTCGCAAATCCACCAGAGGCTGCTGTGTATGCTTTTTCAGATCTCAATTTTCAGATTTCTCTCGCAAGTCACTTTCGTGCCTGCGGTTCTTACGTAAATCCACCAGAGGTTACAGTCGACTGACTGACCAACCGATCGATGCCCTCCCCCTTCATTAAACCCAACCAATGGTGTTTTAAAAAGCACAGATTGACCCACCCACCCACTTCCCTAAACCCAACCTAGACTGTTTTAAAAAGCAATCCAGAAAAATAAAAGCCCCCTTGATTTTTACCATGTTTTCAGATTTTACCACATTCTCACCCTGTTCACTTGTTTATATTATTTTTTAGCTTTTGTTTTTGTCTCGCCTGCTTTCTGGAACCGATATTCACCGGATTCGAACCCCTTTGTCGTGGTCAACACCGCTCTGCATTTCAAGTCTGCTGATGTACATGTCAAGCTACTGAACAAACTGGAAAGAGCGGAAAAGCTATCCCGTCATACGGCCCCCATAGCGTTCGTTAAGATAAAATGCAGCCATGCATATCTCTAGCAATATAATTCACGATCTCCAGAAAATTATATAGGGCTACGTTTTCAGAATGAGCCTATGTAGGTTTTAGAACCTCCGATTTAGTTTCCTATAAGTGAAATGACTAGAAATAATAACAGACGGCTTCTTCCTTTACAAACAATTGTGTTCATGACTATACATAAAATTAAAATAATATAAGAAGAAAATATCAGTTTGCAACAACGAGCTGCCTTTAACGTCTAAAAACCATGGAAGTGAAGGAGAGCGGAAGTCTCGAGCCAAAAAGATTGTAATGGCGGCGTCTCCTCGTACGTGAAGAATAAGGTCAATACGATTGTATATAGTAGTCAACATTAAAAGTGAACCATCAAAGTTGTCTATCGAACAACACCCGTTCTTGTCTTCAAATGTTGACCACTGTATGTTGTCAAATTGCACAGCCCTAATCCCTTCGTTTTCGTCAAGACAAAAGGCGAATGTTTAACAACATCGTGGATGTGCTGAACTGGAATAAAAGATCAACTATGAGTTATGTCAGGAAGAACAAAACATGCTACACCATTAAAATAATGAAACTGGGGTTTTTCATTCGCTTGTGCGTCAACGTTTTACTTGATCCTTCAATATCCAGTGTTAAAATCCCTGTCAGACTGTCATGGGCATGAAGGGCTTTCCTCGTGCGGTTGAACAGACTGCCGTTTTGGGCACAGGATCTTAGCGAACGCTCGCCGAAAGCTGCTGTGGCACAGTGGATACAGGAAGGGATTGATGGCCGAATTAAGCCAAAGAAGCCAAAATGTGACTTCATACCAATGATGCTCCACACAGCTACCACTGCAGGCTGCCCTTATGATCATCAGGAGTGTGTACGGTGCCCAACACACCCCGAAAACACACACAATAACCGCCAACGACTTTGCAATCTTCTTATCTCTAGAAAGACGTGCGTGTCCGCCGCTTCGGCAAGGCGCACAGGGATTCGTCACTTCCTGCGCTCGAATAATCCGCGTCCGAACCCAACCCCCGAACAACCCTCGTTTTTTAATCGTAGTCTTCATCGTTAAAGAAACCGAATGTGTGCTGCTGGGATCACCACTGGATGATGGCGAAACTTCTTCGTCGTCTTCGATTACGGCAGAAACCGCCGCCGGTTCACTCGACGACACTTTACGTGTTTTAACGAAAAACACTGACGAAGTTTGTCCGTCGATAACCCTCCAGCCGTCCTCTTTCTCCGCCTCCACGTGCGCCATCCGACTGCGGTTTCTGCGCTGGATGTTGAGATAGATGCTGAAGTTGAAGAAGGCCACTGAGATGAATGGAGAGAAGAACTCAAAGGTGGATGCTGAGAGCAGAAAGTACCACGTGCAGTAAAACTCAGCGAAACACTCATCCTCTGGAACGATGCTTTCGCCCACCAGCAGCTCCCAGAAGATTATCGCCGGGCCGTAGAGGAGGAATGCCGAAACCCAGACCGCCAACATCTTGAGGACTGCCAGACGCGTGACGCCCTGCTGGGCTCGGTACCGCACCTGCGAATCACACACAAACATTGTTTTAATTATACAACTGTTCCCAAATATTTTCGATTATATATAACATTTTATCTAATTAAAATAAACATTAATAAACACTGAATTATTATTAGCCCCTTATTTTTTCTCATTTTGCATGCCAAGTCTTACGCCATACAAGGTGAGCTACCAAGCAAACTGACCGCTCTGGAAAAGCCATCCATACAGAAGTAAGCAGTCAGCAGTAGCGTATAAAACAGAACAAAAGTTGTCAGTGGGGTCATACTGCCCGGTGGTGTTTGTTTAGTATTTTTCAAAAACAACCTAGAAGAGAAAAAACTTAATATGGCTACATGCTTTTACCGCAGTTTCATGCTGCTTTCTGTTGTTTCTGGAACTGCCCTACGCCAAAATTGAACCCCTCTCCTCGTACCGAGTCCGACATCGTACAAGGTGAGCTACCGAGCAAACTGACTACCCTGGAAAAGCAGTCCATACATTAGTGGTCAGCGGTAGCGCAAAAAAAAAAGGTAGTGGTGTCATACCAGTCCAAAGAGTTCGTTTAGTGTTTTAAAAAAACAAACTAGACGTTTATAGCCCAGTAATAGCTATTAATTAGTTAGAAAGCTATTAAGTAAAAAGCCTAATGGTTAGTTTGTTGACAAATGAGGTGCTCACGGTGACCTGAGTTTGATTCCCAGCTCGAGGTCCTTCCCTTCTCTATGCTTTTCTGTCTCCACTCTACTGTCCTATAAAATAGTTTAAAATATTCCTAAATACTATGAGAAAGAAGTGCCATGTGACCGCATGCTTTTACCACAATTCCACACTGATTTTTCTTGGTTTTGTTTTATATTGTTTCTAAAACCATCCTTCGCTGCTAGCCCTACCCCAATCTGTGTTCTAAGTCCAACAGTGTAAAACTGGGGTGTCAAACTCCGGGAAGGCCACACTGCTTTTTTTGTTTTGTTTCACCTTGTTTCTGGAATTGTCCTTTGCTGTAAACAAACCTCACTGGGATGCCCTTTCAGCTGCAACCCAGCGCTGGGAAACACCCATACCGCCTTGCATTCACACACATATACACTACGGCCAATTTCGTTTACATAATTCACTTTGGACTGTGAAACGCACACCAACACGGGGAGAACATGCAAACTCCACACAGAAATGCTAACCGACCCAGCCACCGTGCCCATACTGTTTTTCCAATATGAATTCAGACACACTGCTCTGCTTGCATACTGTTTATAGCATACTATATAGTATGGAAGTATGTGATTTCAGACGCAGCCTTAGTCTTCCGCTGTATGGGAGGTGATATATTAAAAGCACATAAAATAGCCAATGTACAGAAGCACAAATGTGATGAGAGCGACGGCTGGCATCAGTCTTCATGCTTGTCTTCGTCTTCTTCATGAGTTATTCAATTCACAGCCCAGTCTGAGCACCAATCCAGCTCATCTCGCTCATACGCTGAGAGCTAATTATCTGAACCAATTCAACTAATGTAGCTGTTAGAAGATAATCAGCGCGTCCGATTAATCTGATCAAGTCAAATGACAATTTACAGCCCATGAAAGATCGTTTTGCGAGCGGCTGAATCACTTTACATCGTTGCATACACAAAGGGCTTTTCAAGCAACAATGGCGGGTTTTTGTGGGTCGCACTTTACATTTTCATTAGCTCATGTTTTTGCATGAACTAATACTGAACAATACTTGTACAGCTTTTATTCATTAAAACATAGTTGAACATTAATGCGTTATTAAACATTCAAATTCACACCTGTGAACATAAGTTATTAACATAAACGAACAACGAATTACTTTATTTCCATTAACTAACATGAACGAAGCTAAATAAATGCTGTGATGTATTGTTTATTATTTGTTCATGTAAATAAATACATGATCTAACATTAACTAATACAATCTTATTGTTATGTGTTACCGTTTCATACTGTATAATACAACGTGTCATGTTTAATCTTAATTTATTTTGAGCAAAAAAGAAAATACAAATTGGAAACCTGTCAGGCATATTTAAGTTAAGAATCATTTGAAGACATATTCAAGGGGTAGTTCACACAAAAATGCTCAATTCTGCCATCATCTACCCATCCTCACTATTCGGTTTATTAGTTGCAAAATCAGCTAAAAGTTTATTTTGCTGAAAGGAATATCGGCCAAATAAAGTTTAAAAAGTTTTTTAGTTGAAATCGACCAATATCAGTATCGATATTGGCTGAAAGGGTTTCGCTGAAATCAATATTGGGCAAAAAATGTAAAAACTTTTTTTGGCCAGTTCAGCAAAAAAATGTTAAAAAGGTTTTTCTTGATACAGTATCAATATCGGCTGAAAGTTTTTTTTTTTTGTTTTTTTTTTAGCTAAAATCGATATAAGCCAAAAAAAGCTTTTTTTGCTGAAATCGACCAAAATCTGTATTGAAATTGGCAAAAATTTTATTTTCCTGAAATTAATATAAGCCAAATAAATTACATTTTTTTTTGCTGAAGTCAACCAATATTGGTATCAATATCAGCTGAAAAAGTTTTGTTGAAATCTATGTTGACCAAAAAAAAAAAATCCAAAATAAATTTTTTTGGCTGAAATCGAAAAGGTTTTTTAATGAAATTGAAAAAAAAATTAAAAAAAGGTTTTTTACAGAATTTAACCAACATCAGTATCAATATCGGCTGAAAGTTGTTGTTTTTTGCTAAAACCGATATTTGCCAATTATTTTTGTTTTTTTACTGAAATCGACTAATATCAGTATCAATATCAGCTGTTTATTTTGCTGAAATCAATATCAGCTAAAAATTTACAAAAGGTTTTTCACAGAAATCAATCAATATCAGTATCAATATCGGCACAAGGGTTTTGCTGAAATCAATATTGACCAAAAATGTAATTTTTTCCCTGAAATCGACTAAATTGGTATTGATATCGGCAGCAAGTTTTTTTGTGGAAATTGAAATCGGCCAAAAAAAAAAAAAAGTATATTTTTTTGCTGAAAATGACCAACATCGGTGTCAATATCGGCTGAATATTTAATCTGCTAAAATTAATATTGGCCAAGAAACAAAACGTTGAAATTGACCAATATTGATATCAATATTGGCTGAAACATTTTTTTTACTGAAATCAATATCAGCCAAAAAAAATGTGAAAAGGGTTTTCACTGAAATAATCAGTATTGATATTGACTGAAAGTTTGTTTTTATTTTTTGCTGAAATTGACATCAGCCAGAAAAATAAATGAAAATCCTATCAATGCATGCCGATTTATTTTTCATGGTTTTTAAAAAATAAAAATAACTAAATGTTAACCCAGTCAGGTAAATCTTGAGCTTAGTTTACTTCATAAAAGCTCTACACATTTCACACACAACTGAAAATGTGAATGCAATTATACAAAAAAAAGACGCGTAATGCCACAAAACTCACTCAAACACAATGACTGTGCATTTTTTTAAAATGTGCATATCAACTGCATGCCAAATCTGATTCAGCGCTCTTTCTAATCTTTTTGATGATGTATAATTGACACGCATTAATTTGAGACGGCGTGACAATACGTCTGTCTCCGCACCTCCATCTCCAGAGTCCGGCGCCAAAACACTTTTCATTTCAGTCACTTAAAAATGACAACTGGAAAAAAAAGATGACAAGCAGAGAAAGGGAATCATCTATTCGTAAAAGACAGGAGCCCTCAAGGGTTTCCTCTTGTTAGAAACTAATGCCGTCTCGCCTCCTGAAATTACTGCAAATAATAGTTGTCTTTAGGGAACGTGTCGGAAACAAAAACACACGGCAAGCATCACAGCATTTCACACCTTCTGACATCTTGAACTGCATTCTGGGCCACCGGCGCTGCTATAAATGAGCTTTTTGATGTAATGTTCAGGGCTGCGTTTCTCGAAACCTTCCTAAGGGTACGTCACTCTTAAGTATACCGTAAGCCAGGGGAGTTCAAACTCGGTCCTGGAAGGCCGGTGTCCTGCATATTTTAGTTCCAACCCCAATTAGACACACCTGAACCACCTAATCAAGCTCTTTCTAGGTATACTAGAAACTTCCAGGCAGGTGTGTTAAAGGAAGTTGGAGCTAAACTGTGCAGGACACCGGCCCTCCAGGACCGAGTTTGGACACCCCTGCCTTAAGCTGTACATTAGAGTGTTTTTTCTGGAGCTTTCTTAGTTGGGGATGCTCTCTTTTTGTCATACTTTTGTATAGTTGGTCTGGAGCACTCTTAGCTATAGCTTATCACTGCTTTTTTTTTTATATCTAAGTACAAACAGTGCAAAACATTTACACTGTAAAAAATGGCTGTGATTTTAACGGTAAAAAACTTGTAAAAATACTACAGTACAAATCCGTTAACGGAATGTTTCCTTAATATTTACGGCGAATAACCATAAATTGACTCTCCCAGAATTCCCTGCATGGCACATAACTTTTTATGCATTTTGCTGACATTAATATGGATGTTTTTAGTTGTTTCCCCATCAGTTATGTACATTAGAGATTTATGTTACATCTAATGTTGATAAACAATATTTATTTCATGACTTTAATTTTATGCGTGTTACCATACTGGTGCTGTGTGAATAACACTGAGCACCTTCTATGTGCTGATACTCTTTTCTGCTTGTGGGAAAAGTTGATTGTGATGAGCATTGGCTCTTTATGTAACTTCCTCATCACCACCTTCATACGCCTTCGTGACCGGCGTAACCCTCGGCGCATGCAACGCGCGTAGCTGTGCATTTATACTTCTGTGCGCTGTCTCTGTTGGTCTGTATTAACACTTCCGAAACACTAGTTGGCAGTGAGGTGTAAATGTTCCTCTGTGTCGAGTTTCTTCTCTACTTTTTTGCTTTTCCTGAACACTTCCTCAATGTACAAGTGGCTCAAACTCGCTCATTTTGAGGCAGGAACCGGCAGACGTGCAACAACTTTAACTATGAGGTAAACACAAAACAAAACTTTCCATTCGGAGCTCCTTCACGGG